TTCAAGTATTGGAGACCAAAGAAACAAAATGAAAATGGAGATTTTCTTCTAAGGTAACGTTTTAAATTTAAATAGCTGAAAAAATAGTATTAATAGCTGAAAGACAGTATTAGGGGAGCTAGTGTGAAAAACCCTAGTGTGAGTTTTCTGTTTTGATTTAGTTCTGAGAGATCTCTTGGGACCACCTCAACACAGACAGAAGTCCAGTTAACTAGGCATTAGACAACCAGGCTTAGGTAACCTGTGTGACTTAATGTAATTCAGTTCTGAGTCTCTCCACATTACTGACCTGAAGATAACACTGCCTGCTCTATATACTTCCTAGAACTGTTGAAAGGTAGCAAAATGTTTCTAAATACTTTGCAAACAGCAAAGTGCTGTAAGTTCAAAGCATTTTTTGTTGTCACATTCATTCACATTTAAGCTGCCCTACATAGTCATTTTAATCAGCCGCAGGTAAGCTCTCCATCTGCATTCAAATGCCATTTTCTCACTGCCACTAAAAGGATCGTTGTGATAAAAAGGATAATGGCCTGCACCAAAGATGTCTATGCCGGTAACCGGTAACCACCAGAACCTGGGAATATGTTTCCTTACATGGCAAAAGGACTTTCCAGATGTGATTAAGGATCTTGTGATGAGGAGATTTTACTGGATTACCCAGGTTGGTTCCAATGTAAACCCAAGTGTCTTTATAAGAGGGAGGCGGGAGGGTCAGAGTAAGAGAAGGTGATGACAATGGAGTGTGTGTGTGTGTGTGTGTGTGTGTGTGTGAGAGAGAGAGAGAGAGAGAGAGAGAGAGAGAGAGATGTTATATTCTGTCATATTCTGTCTGCCTATGACTGAAATTTGGATACCAAAACATGCTAGACAAAATTTACTAACCTTTCTTAACAGTGATATACAAACATTTGTAAAGCTGGCTGTGATCTGATGAGTATGATTAGGCAGAATGGAAGGATCACAATTTAAACCCTGGTTCTGGCACTTGCTGTGTGACCTCGGGCAAATCACATAACTTCTCTGGGTCTCAGTGACATCATCAATAAAACAAGGAGCTTGGACTAAATACCCAGATGCAGCCTGAAGCGTCTTAAAAGAGGGGCACAAAGTATTTTGGTAATTCTGTTGAGAAAGTAGTCACCACTGGCTAACACGGCTGAGAAGCACTACTCATTGGCGACTTCCCGTCCACACCACTAGTGTACTGAGGCCTGTTTGGATTTGAGCAATCCCCGACTCCAGATGTAGTAAGGCTAAGTGCAGGAAAAGCCTGGGGAACATTTTCCAAGCACATCAATTAACACAAATTTTTGGAAGCTAATGGATGGGGAGGAAAAAGCACAGGGGGTGGCCTCCAACACCGAGGCAGCACAGAGCCCTGGGAGGTTCCTGAAAGGCTCTCCTGATCTCTGCAGACAGGAGTCCACCAGCAGGTGAAGTACACCTGCAGTGGCCCTCGGCAAGCTGCGCCTTTGTCTCCTTATCCCCAGGGCCCAGGCACAAGAACTGGCATTTAATAGTTGCTCACAGTGTGTGTGAGGTGACTGAGCGGCTGAGCCCAACTAGCCTCCCCGCCTCCCTTCTCCCTGAAGGCCATGCCCTGAAGGACACGTGTCGGACAAGAACGATGCTCTTGGGGTTATGCGAACAGCAGCCTTGCCTCCCTTCAAGAAGGTCTCAGGAGTTTTCTAGACAAGAGAAAAGCCTGAACTAGAGACAGTCATGCGCGTGGAAAGATGCCAGCGTGATTAATTTCAGGGCAGTTTGGGAGACACACTGAAATACTCTTGACCAGTCAGAGTAAAATCTTTCTTGATTTCTTTCCTATTTTCCTTTAGTGTAATTCAGTAATAATCTATTACAAAAAATTGGAAGGCTCATCACACATCTGTTAAGCACAAGTTACTGTTATCATAAACCTCACTCTTCTGTCAAAAATGTATATGATCCCATTTTTCTACTTTAAGGTCTAGTACTGCAGCCAAAATCAAACGGTCTACAGCAATAGTTTAAGGAA